CCAGACATCCCGACCCCACGCTCTTACGCAGAGGCGATGGCCGGTCCCTACTCCTCTCAGTGGCAGTCAGCCATGGACACAGAGATGGCTTCCTGGAAGTCCACTGGCACCTACGTCGACGAGGTTCCCCCACCTGGGGCGAACATCGTCAGTGGCATGTGGATTTTCAGAGAGAAGTGGCCGCCGGGCTCTCCGCCTGTCTTCAAGGCGCGTTACGTTGCACGAGGCTTCAGTCAGCGAGAGGGAGTTGACTTCTTCCAGACCTTCTCCCCGACCCCGAAGATGACCACTCTTCGGGTTCTGCTACACGTCGCCGCTCAGCGTGACTACGAGCTCCACTCTCTTGACTTCCGCACAGCTTTCTTGCAGGGCAGCCTGCACGAGGAGATCTGGCTGCGCCGCCCACCTGGCTTCACTGGGTCGTTCCCTCCTGGTACCCAGTGGAGCCTCCGGCGGCCAGTCTACGGTCTCCGCCAGGCGCCACGTGAGTGGCACGACACACTGAGGACTACACTTGCGGCTCTTGGGTTCGCTCCTTCTACTGCTGACCCGTCGCTGTTTCTACGCACCGACACCTCACTGCCGCCGTTCTACATCCTCGTGTACGTCGACGACTTGGTCTTTGCCACTTCTGACACAGCTGGTCTCGCTCACGTGAAGTCCGAGCTGCAGAAGAGACACACGTGCACAGACCTGGGTGAACTGACAAGCTATCTTGGCTTGCGGATCACCCGGGACAGAGCACGGCGCACCATCACCTTGACTCAGTCACACATGGTGCAGCAGGTCCTTCAGCGCTTCGGCTTCACGTACTCCTCGCCTCAGTCCACTCCTCTGCCTACGGGACACTCGCTCTCAGCTCTGCCTTCGGATGAGTCCGTAGAGCCGAGTGGTCCGTATCCAGAGCTTGTGGGCTGCCTCATGTACCTGATGACCTGCACTCGACCTGACCTTGCATACCCTCTCAGCATCTTAGCACGCTATGTCGCTCCCGGCCGTCACCGGAAGGAGCACATGGATGCAGCTAAGAGGGTGTTGCGCTACTTGTGCAGTACGTCGGGCATGGGGCTAGTGCTTGGAGGGCGAGACCGGCCTGTTCTCACCGGGCACTCAGACGCTTCTTGGGCAGACGACCAGGCTACTCAGCGGTCGTCTCAGGGTTACACCTTCAGTCTTGGCTCTGGCTCTGTCTCTTGGCGTTCTACTCGTTCTTCTTCTGTTCTCAGCTCCAGCTGTGAGGCTGAGATCTACGCCACGGCCATGGCTGCCCAGGAGCTTCGCTGGCTCACCTACCTGCTGACTGACCTTGGAGAGCAGCCTCGTTCTCCTCCAGTGCTGTACGTCGACAACAAGGCAACCATAGCCTTGTGTCAGGAGCACAGACTGGAGCACAGGACGAAGCACATTGCTCTGCGTTACTTTCTAGCTCGAGAGCTACAGCAGCGTGGTCAGCTTCTTCTGCGTTACGTGGCCACTGAGGCCAACACTGCTGATGTGTTCACCAAGGCGCTTCCGCCTGTTGATCATCAGCGTTTTTGCACTCTTCTAGGCCTTGTGCCGACTGTTCCTCACTTGCTTACTTCTTGACTTTGCCTGTACTGTGATCATTATATATATACATGCATGTTTGCCCTTGCTAGGTTGTGATCATTGTACCTCTTGCTCTATTATAAAACTGCATGTGAACTGGTCTTGTGACCGCTTACTTGTGCTCGGAATTTGTGTGGAATCCTCGAGATCCACCCTGAGCTTGTTTGCCTTGTTTTACCTTGACTGGTCTTGTGACCCCTAGGTCTGCCCCACTTTGCCTATGGGGGTGTGTCAAACATTATATGTTTATGTGGTTCTAGGCTGTAGTGGGTTACACCTTAGGGGGTACACTAGATTAGGGTTTCATATTTGTACTGTTGTTCCTGCTAGTCACAACCATTCCTGTTTCTCATTCTGACAGTAGGTAGTACAGCAGCAAAGGTACAGCAAGAATTCCTGCTATCTCCTCACCCTCCCCCTCCCCCTCCCCCCCACACTGCCGCAGTAGCAGCAGAGGGGGGAAGAGAGGAGAGGTGGAGGGACGGCTGCTGGATGGTCTCACACCCGCCACCCCAGTGCCACTCCCCCAGCTCCCCCACACCCTCACACCCTCGCGGCAACTGCAGCAGCGGGAAAGAAAGGAGGAGGAGGGGAAGGGAAGTTGGTCTCACACCCGCCACCCCAGTGCCACTCGCCCAGCTCCCCCACACCCTCACACCCTCCCCCCATCGGCAGCTGCAGCAGTGGGAAAGAAAGGAGAAGGAGGGGAAGGGAAGCATACCACCCGTCACCCCAACACCCGCCACCCCCATACCCTCCCCCCCACGGCTGCAGGGAAATGAAGGAGGAGGGGGTGGGCGGGGAGAAAGCCGCAGAGCGGCTACTGATGGTTGGCGCGGGTAGGTCAGGGGCGGCTTCAGGGAGTGTAGGTGCGGGGTGAGGTAGTGGCGGCTGCACCGAGTGCAGGAGCGAGGTGGTGCAGGGGCGGCTGCATCAAGTGCAGGCGCTAGTGAGACACCGCCGAGTGCGCCAGGGGCGGGTACGCGGCGGCTCAGGTAGGTAGGCAGGTAGTGCACCGTCGCACGCCACGGGGCGCACGACGGGCTGGGCACCGTCGCGTGCCACGGGGCGCACGACGGGCAGGGCATCGTCGTGTGCCACGGGGCGCGCGACCGGCATTGCAGGTAGGCAGGTAGTTTAGTTCCCCGTCGCACGCCACGGGGCGCACGACGGGCAGGGTAGGTGTCACTCGCCATCCGAGGGCGGGACATTAATTAAAATCGCTACGAGACCTAGGCGCGCAACCGGAAAAGAACTGCAGCGGAAGCATACGGCGGGCCCACAGGCCAGGACGAAACTAGCTCTGATAGCATGTCGAGAAATAAACACAATAGGTAGTTAGGAGAATAGTTCGGCCTAGGCTTAGTAGCCTAGGCCAAGGAGGATCGAGTTGGTTGTGCCAAGGGTGTCGAGAGAATTTCGGGAAAAGTGTGTTGTTCACTATAAGTTTGCAATCACATATATGCAAGTGAACAAAGGTGCACCACCTAACACAGTTTGTAATAACTACACTAACTACAGCTACAAGCAGTTACAAATATAAAATCTGACAGACAGAACACGACGAGAGGAGGGGTGGTAGAACTGCCACCCTGGTGCGTCAGGGGGGAAGCCAAGGAAGACACAAGGAGCAGCACGAGGGGACAGCTTGTCCGCAGACAAGTCGCGGACAAACGCCCGAGATCCCCAGACACGGAACGCAGACGCATCGCCCACCTTCCCCGTCCACAGCAGAGCTGGGGAGGTCTCCGGCATGGAGACCCTGGGGTGAAGGTTGATCTGATGTGCCGCGTACCGAACCGCAAACGGCCACAGAAAATGGGGGACAACCGCATGCATCATGGACGTACGAGCGACGTCCATGACCATGCCAATGCGGCGCTCAGCAATCCCATTTTGCTGTGAAGAGTCCGGAAGCGTAAAGGTCTGGCGGATGCCTCGCGCACGGCAGTAGGCTCGTAGAAGGCCAGAGGAGAACTCTCCGCCTCGGTCAGAGTGCAGACGCAGAACAGGAAAGTCCGAGCCGAAGCTCCTCCTGAGCTGGAGACGAGCTGCGCGGATCCAGTCGATCAACACCTCAGTGACATCACCCTTTCTGCGCATGGGGAAGACTGAGGTGTAACGCGAGTAGTCGTCAACCACCAGCAGGAAGTAGCGCTCGTGACCCTGTCCACGGACGCGGGCCGGGCCCCACACGTCCATTTGAAGCGTCTGCAGCGGGGCCTCTGTCGCGGGAAACTCAGAGGAGTGAGGGGCAGCCCGGAGCCGCCCCTCGACACAGGGAACACAGGAAGGACCAGGCCCTGGAGGAAGGGGAGGGAGGGACCCGGGGAGACCAGAGACAAGGACACGGGAAGCCATGCCTCGGAGACGAGGCAGGGAGGGGTGACCAAGACGGTGGTGCCACAGGAGAGTCTCGTGAGACAGGAGGCGACACGAGCAGGGGGCAGACTCAGGACCAGACCTGGACGCGGCAGCAAACACCTGACCCGACGCAGCTACCTGGCTAGACGCAGGGACAGGAGGAGACCCAGTGGTCAGGGTGTAGAGGCTCGACCCCGGCCGACGCGTAAACGTGGCCAGGTGCCGGCCTGTGCGAGCGTCCGAGCAGTGGGTCACCCACTGACTCGCAGGAGTAAACTGGTGAACCCCCGCATCCTGCAGGTCAGCACCACTCACCAAGTTCGTAGAGAACGAGGGGAGGTAAAGACCAGACAAGGTGCCAGAGGGGGCAGCCGGACAAGGGAGGACAGTGGAGAAGTGAGAGAGGACAGAACCCCCAGAGGGGTCTGCCAGGGAGACTGCAACCGGCCGACCAAGCGGCATGAGTGTGGTGCGGTCTCGAAAGAAGGAGCGAGAAGCCCCTGAGTCAAGTGTGAAGGTGAGGGAGGCCGAAGCCAACGTGGTACCTGAGAGCGCAGACTCACCAGCACCTGAGGGCGCAGACGCACTGGCACCTAGAGCAGCAGCCTCACCAGCACCTAGAGCAGCAGTTCCAATGCCCAGGTCGGGCGGGAAACACCGGTAACAGTCACCCTCATCACTAATAGTCACAGCATACATGGCAGCAAGGATAGCATCAAAGTCAAGATCATAGATAGCTACGCCTGCCCTAGACAGCTCTCCCCAGCGGGGGATCTCACTGGCCTCCGGGAACTGCTGACGCCAAGCGTCCGTCAGGCGGCCAAAGCAGCGCTGGGTGGGGTGGGCACCCCCACACTGCTCACCCGCGCGGTCGCCGGTGCGAAGGACGTAGGTGCACGGACCAAAACACCCACCACGATGACGCTGCGTGTACCACTCACGGAGCTGCTGAGGGGGGGGGATGTCCCGAGAACGCTGCTGTTGCTGCTGCTGCTGCTGGCGCTGACCACCACCAGGGCTGCTCCGCTGCGAAGCGCCACCCCGTGTCAGAGGTCCACTGGTGATCCCCGATTGATCCTAGGGAAGGGTTACAGGCACGGTTGCCTGGGGGGTTATGGGCGCACTCTGACCCGCTACTTAACAAGCCCTTTTATCCCAATGGTCTAATGGTTGGGATTCTGACACCCCGACCACCTCCACCTCCTCCACCACCGCCTCCTCCACCTCCGCCACCACTGCCGCCTCCGCTAGCACCGCCGCCGCCTCCACCGCCTCCGCCTCCACTGCTGCCACCGACACCTCCACCCCCGCCACCACTCCCACCGCCACCCCCACTTCCTCCGCCGCCTCTACCGCCACCTCCACCGCCCCCGCTAGCTCCACCCGCGCCCTTGCCCCCCTTGCCCTTGCCAGAGCGGCGTCTCCCGCTAGGGGCAGACGCCGCACTGACCGACTCAAGACCAACGAGGTCGGCCGCAGCGGCAGAGGCGACAAAGGGCAAAAGGGGGGAAGGAGAACACCCCTCAAAGATGGGGGTGCGAGGGTCACCACGAGAGGCTCCTACAGTGACTATGCTCTTCTCCGCTGCTAGGAGGGCCTTCTCTATGAGGTCAACAGTGAGAGTGGTGGGACAGACTGAGAGGAAGTGGTCCCTGACTACACGAAGGGAGTCAGGGAGGCGGGTGACTATATAATAGAGAGTGATGTACATGGGGGGGGGGGTTCTTGGCGCAGAAATCAGCAGGAAGTGCGGCGCGGTAGCGAGTGTCACTAGTGCGGAGGTGCGTAATGAGGTCAGCGACTGTGGGAAAGGCAGCAAGGTCAGGGAAGAGGTACGGTAGCATGAGGCGGCTTAGTGCAGCAGTGGCAGGGGAAGAGTAGCGCGCAACTACAGCGTCGTACAAGGTCTGAGCATTCTTGTACTGGCTAAAGTGCGCACGCTCAGCGGTAGGAAGGTGGCGACGCACAGCAAGACGTGCAGCAGCATCGCGCGTGGCCCACTGAGAGCGAACAGTGGCGTCAGCATCAGCAGCAGGGGCAGGGACGGCGCCAGAGGTCAGGTCAAAGAGAGAGAGACCGTCTGCCCTATCGCACTGTAAGAACAGCTGCAGGTCGTCGACCCAGACCTCAAAGTCAATGGCTCGACCCTCAGCGTCAAAAGCGAGGACACTAGGGGTAGCCATGACAACAGTAGACTAGCAGTACCAACTGTAGGGCAGGGGCAGTGCAGTGACAGAAACGCTGCTCTCACCAGACAGGGCGGTTCGGGCAGCTCAGCATCACAGCAACACGGCAACAAGGCTGCTCGGACGGCTCAGCAGCAACTGCGGCTCCGCGGCACCAGCGGCTCGGCTCTTCAGGCGGCTCGGGCGGCTCGGGCGGCTCGGGCGGGTCGGGCGGGTCGGGCGGCTCGCGTGGCTCGGCTCCTCAGCGGCTCAGGCGGCTCGGGCGGCTCGGGCGGGTTGGGCGGCTTGGGCGGCTCGGGCGGCTCGGGCGGCTCGGGCGGCGCGGGCGGTGTAGGGCGGTAGGGCCGCTGGTAGGGCGGCGGGGCCGCAAGGTAGGTGGCGGGGCCGCAGGGGGAGGGGCGGCGGGGCCGCAGTGAAGGGCGGCGGGGCCGCCGTGAAGGGCAGCGGGGCCGCTGAGAAGGGCGGCGGGGCCGCAGTGAGAGAGGCGGCGGGGCCGCAGAGAAGGGCGGAGGGGCCGGTGAGAAGGGCGGCGGGGCCGCAGCGAGAGAGGCGGCGGGGCCGGAGCGAAGGGCGGCGGGGCCGCTGAGACGGGCGGCGGGGCTGCAGCGAAGGGCAGCGGGGCCTCAATGTGAGGCGGCGGGGCCGCAGGGAAGGGCGGCGGGGCCGCAATGTGAGGCGGCGGGGCTGCAGCGAAGGGCGGCGGGGCCGCAACGAAGGGCGGCGGGGCCGCTGAGACGGGCGGCGGGGCCGCAGAGAAGGGCGGCGGGGCCTCAGTGTGAGGCGGCGGGGCCGCAGCGAAGGGCGGCGGGGCCGCAATGGGAGGCGGCGGGGCCGCAGCGAAGGGCGGCGGGGCCGCTGAGAAGGGCGGCGGGGCCGCAGTGAGAGAGGCGGCGGGGCCGCAGCAAAGGGCGGCGGGGCCGCTGAGAAGGGCGGCGGGGCCGCAGGGAAGGGCGGCGGGGCCGCAGCGAAGGGCGGCGGGGCCGAATCGACGGGCGGCAGGGCCGCTAGGGCTATGGGGCTGCTAGGGCGTTGGGGCCGCTAGGGCGTTGGGGCCGCTAGGGCGGCTCGAAGAAGTGAGAACCCGAAGCGCGACTCGGGCTGAGCGCGCTTCGGGCAGGAAAAAAAAACTCGATGTGGTGGGCCCTAGGCAAAGTTCCCACGGGGGAACCTGCTCGATACCATGAGAAAATGAGAACGTGAATGAATGACTATGGAATGGAAGTGATACAAATATGCAACCCTAGAGATTTGTACCCCATATGGGCTACCCCACTATAGCCTACACAACATTATAATTTGACATCCGCGCCTAGGGTAGCACGGACGAACCAGGGCCCACTACTAAGGGAAGTGCTGAAAACGTTCTCCGTCGACAAATTCTGTGGTGAAGGGTACGACGACTGGACTTGGAAGATGCAGTTATTCTTTCGACAAATAGGACTTCTCAAAGTCATGATCGGTAGTGAGAAACGCCCTAGCAACCCTGAGCTTCAGGGTGATTGGGACGAACGTTCATCAGCTAGATACTACATCCTTTCTCAGAGCCTCGATCTTGCTCAACGCCAGCACATTATGCACCTACTCCCAGAGGATGAGTGCGGACCCAAGGCGTGGACCGTGCTTAAAGCCGTGGCCTAGCTATCAGCTTCAACTTCGAAGTATTATAGCTTGGAACTTGGTTGTCCCAGGCAGTTCTGTGGCGAGAAGTTTTTTTTTTCCGAGATTCCATTTTTTTTTTCCAATAAGGGTCACGTTACGCACACTCCATGTTTGTCCTACTACTGTTCCTAAGAAGTTGCACCCCGCCTTAAAGGACCTTCATGCACCTACCTCTGTTGTAGCCACCCTCATGTTAGAGAGAGAGCTCTCCACCCTGCGCCTCAGTGAAGGAGAACCTGTCCAACCCGTCCTTGATAAGCTCAGAGATCTCTATGCAAAGCTAGCCATTGGCGGCATAACCTACCCCGAGCAAACAAAATGTGTAAAGATGCTGTTGCTGCTGCCAGAGTCGTGGATGGTCTTCACCAGCGGCCTCAGCCTTCCCCAAAACCAAAGCTTCTGGACTTTGGAGTGGATTCGTACCAAGATACTCGAGGAAGACTTCCGGAGGCGTCAGTTGAGGGGAGGAGAGGAGGGAAGCAGCAGCTATGCAATGCAAGGTGGTAAGAGGGGTAGAGGCAAGAAATGGCAAGCGACTGGGAGAGGAGCTTCAAAGGATGAGGAGACTTCTGACCAGCAAGGCGGTAGAGGAGCAGGACGTGATGGAGGCCGAGGTGGCAGAGGTGGTGGAAGGGGACCTGGGAGAATGGAAGGCAAGTGTTGGTACTGTGAGAAAGTGGGTCACCCGTGGTTTAAATGCAGGACCAAACCCACCTGGTGGACCCCCTCCAACAGGACTCAAGATGGGAGCGGCGCCGGAGCGGTTGCCGATGATGAAGTGGCTGAACAAGAGGAGAGGGAAGCCGGTCAGTTCTTCCACGTTGGTGAGCCGGATGAGGTCGCAGTAATCGCCCATGCTGGAGCCAAGCTGCACCCGCTCAACACGTGGATCTTGGACACAGGAGCAGCATGGACTATGACGCCAAGGGCTGACCTCCTGGACAATGTGGGGGCAGCACCGATTGCTAAAGTGAAGTCGGCTTCCAAGCATGCGCTCAAGGTGACGGGGGCGGGGCGCGCTGCATTCAAGAGAACTGACGGCAAACCGGTGGTGCTAAGTGATGTGCTGCTGGTACCTGATTTGAAGGCAAACCTCATCTCCCTGAGGAAGTTACGCAAGTGCGGGGTGAGCACAAGTACCGAGGGTGCCAAAACATTCAAGGGGCAGCTGGGAAAGCGGATGCTTTGGGAATTGCATGAGGATAAGGACATATGCAAGTCCATGTGGCAGCTGCCGGTGGTGCCCTGGGACAAGGGGAATGGCTTCCAGGGGGAGTGCAACGCTGTAGCTGCAGAGGAGCTGAAGGTTTCAGCAAGGGGAGGTGAAACGGACTGGATGACATCCCACCGTTGCCTTGGGCATATTGCTATGCCCGCACTGCAGCAACTGCACAAGGATGAAGGGGTTAAGGGGCTGAAGCTGACAGGTGCAGCAGCAACCCACAAGTGTGAAACTTGCCTGTTGAACAAGCTCACTCGGTTCCCATTCCATGCAACCGAGGGTGTCGGCAAGAAATTGCTTGAGTTAGTGCACATAGACGTGGTGGGGCCGCTACCAGTGGTGGGGGAGCGTGGTGAGAATTTCTTCCTCACCATAGTGGACGACTGGAGCGGAGTGACATGGGCATACCCCATCAAGAAGAAGGACCACGTGCCAGTGATAAACCGTGATGAATGGCTGCCGTTAGTGGAGAAGCAGTCCCAGCACAAGGTGATGCATATCAGGACAGCTCAGAGGCATGGCCTCCCGTCTTCTTGTGTCTGGTCTCCCCCGGTCCCTCCCTCCCCTTCCTCAGGGCCCTGGCCCTGCCTGTGTCCCCTGTGTCGAGGGGCGCCAGCGTGCTGCCCCTCACTCCTCCCAGTTTCCTCCGACAGAGGCTCCGTTGCAGACGCTTCACATGGACGTGTGGGGCCCTGCCCGCGTCCGTGGACTCGGTCACGAGCGCTACTTCCTGTTGGTGGTTGACGACTACTCGCGTTACACCAAAGTCTTCCCCTTGCGCAGCAAGGGTGATGTCACTGAGGTGCTGATCGACTGGATCCGCGCAGCTCGTCTCCAGCTCAGGCAGAGCTTTGGCTCAGACTTTCCTGTGTTGCGTCTGCACTCGGACAGAGGCGGAGAGTTCTCCTCTGGCCTTCTGAGTGCCAACTGTCGTGCGCGAGGCATCCGCCAGACCTTCACGCTTCCGGACTCACCGCAGCAAAATGGGATTGCAGAGCGCCGCATTGGCATGGTCATGGACGTCGCTCGTACGTCTATGATGCATGCGGCTGCCCCCCATTTTCTGTGGCCGTTTGCGGTCAGGTACGCGGCGCATCAGATCAACCTCCACCCCAGGGTCTCTAGGCCGGAGACCTCCCCAGCCCTGCTGTGGACGGGGAAGGTTGGCGATGCGTCGGCGTTCCGGGTCTGGGGATCTCGGGCGTTTGTCCGCGACTTGTCTGCGGACAAGCTGTCCCCTCGCGCTGCTCCCTGCGTCTTCCTGGGGTTCCCCCCCGACGCCTCTGGGTGGCAGTTCTACCACCCCACCTCTCGACGTGTTCTGTCCTCCCAGGATGTCACGTTCGACGAGTCGGTACCCTACTACCGCCTCTTCCCCTACCGCACTCCGTCCCTCCCCCCGCCCCCGCTCTTCTTGGTACCAGGTCCCCCCCCGGTCGACCCCCTCCCCCCTCAGGGTCCTGCCCCTTCAGGTGTGTCCCAGGTAGACGCGGTTGAGCCTGTCGAGGTCACTGGTGACTCTGGTGCTGCTGCGGGAGCTGAGCCTGGGGGTGCTGTGCCTGGGGGTGCTGAGCCTGGGGGTGCGGGGTCTGAGGGTGCTGCGTCTAGGGGTGCTGAGCCTGGGGGTGCTGAGCCTGGGGGTGCTGAGCCTAGGGGTGCTGAGCCTGGGGGTACTGAGCCTCGGGGTGCTGAGTCTGGGGGTGCTGAGCCTGGGGGTGCTTCGCCTGGGGGTGCTGAGCCCGGGGGTGCTACGCGTGGAGGTACTTTGCCTGGGGGTGCTGAGCCTGGAGGTTCTTCGCCTGGAGGTTCTCCGGGTGCTTCGTCTCGCCAAGAGCCACTCTCCTCACAGGAGCTGCGTGAGTGGTTTGCTCGGCGCTGGAGGCGTGCTGCTGGTGCTGGAGGTTCTTCTGCTGCTGAGGGTGCTGCTGCCGCAGGTCCCGGAGGTGCTCGTACTGGGAGTACTGGAGCTGCTGGGCCTGCGGGTTCGCCTGGAGCTGGTGCTGCTGAGGGTGTTGGCGCTGAGACTACCACTGGTGGTTCGACTGGCGGTGCTCCTGGTGCTGCTGGAGTTTCTGGGGCTACTGGAGGCGCTGCTGGGGGTTCTGGAGCTACTGGAGGTGCTGCTGGAGGTGCTGCTGGAGCGGGTACTCCTGCTGGGGGTACTGGTGCCGTCCCTGCTGTTTCTGGCGTTGCCACGCGGCCCCGACAGTACTTCGTACCGCTCCTGCAGCAGGTTCTTGGTCTTCCACCTTCTCCTGGTCCTTCTCCTCCTCCCTTAGAGGGTCCACAGCCTGTCCAATCACTGCTACAGCCTGCCTCCCCTTTGCCTACTCCTTCTCCCTACGCTGGTCCGACTGGAGGTCTTACTGAGTGTCGTGAGCCTGCGTCTCATCCTGCGTCGCCTGTTCGTACTGCGCGCACTAGTGGTCGCGGTTCGCGCCAGCGTCCTCCTCCTGTCCCT